GAAAAGCTGAGTTGTTGGCCAAGAAGATAGCACTTTGACTGTCACTGTAAAGAATGCTATTCTTGTACTGCTTCCCAAGTTCCCCAAGTAAATTTTGAAGCCACGCCATCTCCTTATTTGCCTCCGTAATGGCCACATATTCAGTTTCAGTGGTAGATAATGCAACAATCTTTTGCAGCTGCGAAAACCAGGAAACTGCCGTTCTACCAAATGTAAAAACATACCCGGTGGTGCTCCTCGATCCATCTGAGTCATTCGATGCCACGTCTGCATCAACATGTCCCAGCAGCTCTACATTCTTCCGATCAAAACACAAAGCATTAGAAGCAATACCTTTCAAATACCTCATGATCCACTTCACAGTTTCTAAGTGTTCCTTCCCTGGATCTCCCATGTATCTGCTCACTACTCCAACCGCATGTGCAATGTCTGGCCTCATGCACACCATAACATACATGATGTTGCCAATTGCCGAGGCGTATGGGACATTCTGCATTTGAGCACGCTCCCCTTGTTCTTTGGCGAGTCTTCCTTGCTAAGCTTGAAGTGACTACCCAGTGGTACACTTGCTGCCTTTGCATCTTGCATTCTGAATCTTTCCAGGACCTTCTGAATGTATTCTGCTTGTGAAAGATACAATCTGCCTGCTACCTCATCCCTCTCGATTCGCATGCCCAAAATCTGCTTTGCCTCTCCAAGATCCTTCTGACAATTGTTTCTTCAGCTTCTCAATCTCCTTTGAACTAGCTCCTGCAATCAACATATCATCAACATATAATAGCAAAATAAAATAACAGTTCTCGGTCTTCTTGTAGTAGCAGCAGCAATTGTCGGTGTGGCATCTCAAGAAATGTATGTCCCTCATGAAACCATCAAATTTCTTGTACCACTGCTTTGGTGCCTGCTTCAACCCGTATAAGCTCTTCACTAGCTTACATATGAGATTCTCATTGCCCTCTGCCACATAACCCTCCGGTTGCACTATGTAAATCTCATCATTCAGATCACCATGAAGGAATGCAGTCTTCACATCCATCTGATGTAACAACAAATTCTCTACAGCAACTAACCTCAACATCAACCGAATAGTAGTTAGTTTCACAACTGGAGAGAATATGTCAGTATAATCAATACCATAACGTTGCTCGAATCCCTTCACAACCAGCCTAGCTTTATAGCATTTGTTACCATCTGCCTCCTTCTTGATGTGGTGGACCCACTTGCAGTGCAAAGCCTTCTTTCCTCTAGGTAGCTCAACTAACCTCCAAGTATCATCCATTGCAAGTTTCCACTTGCCCTTGTCATCAACCCGAACTGCCTCTGCATAGGACTCCGATTCACCACCATCAGTAAGCAACAAATAGAAATTAGAAGGCGAATACCTATTTGGTGCTCTCTGGTTTCTGGCAGTCCGCTACCTTGGTGGGGTTGATGGATCTTCATCACTACTCAACTCTTCATTCTGATCCTGCTTGCTCTCACCCGAATTAGAGATATCCAACTCTATGATCTTCGGACTTTCTTGATCAGAATCAGATGCACTCAATCTGTCCTTGTACATAATCTGCTCGTTGAACACTACATCTCGGCTACGAATAATCTTCCTATTCTGATCATCCCAAAATCTGTATCCATAGTCATCATCACCATAGCCAACAAACGTACACTTGACAGATTTTGCGTCTAGCTTGCTTCGTTCAACGGAACTGAGATGAACGTAAGCAACACAACCAAATATGCGGAGATAGGACAGATTGACCTCCTTACCCGTCCACCTTTCTTCAAGTATCCCATTATCCAACAAGATCGTTGGACTTCTGTTGATGAGGAAAGCCGCAATGTTCGCCGCATCCACCCAAAACATCTTCTGTAAGCCACTCTTCAACCTCATGCATCTAGCCCACTCATTCAGTGTTCTGTTCATGCGTTCAGCAACGCCATTATGCTGCGGGGTCCCCTTTGTTGTCTTCTTCATACGAAACCCATTCTCAACACAAAACTTTTTGAACTCATGTAGTTCATACTCACCTCCGTTGTCAGACCAAAGGCACTTCAATTTCAGACATGTCTCTGTCTCCACAAGAGCTTTCCACCTCCTGAAAGTATCAAAGGCATCATGTTTATTTTTGAGAAAATAAACACACACCTTTCTTGTGGCATCATCAATAAAGGTCATGTAGTAGGCGGATCCTCCCAAGGATGTAACTTTTGTAGGTCCCCAAAGGTCGGTGAACTAGTTCCAGCTTCTCCGGTTTAATAGCACGTCTACCCTTCGAGAAACTGACACGTTTCTATTTCCTGAACATGCAGTCCTCGCATAAGCCAACCTCAACAGTCTTCAGGCCGAGCAGTTTGCCCTTCGAGCACAGCTCTATCCTCTTTTCGCTCATGTGACCGAGACGACAGTGCCACAAATTGACATCGTTTGCTGCAGCGGCAACAACATCAATACAATCCTTAGAGTTCATTGTCATCTACAACGTACCCTCCTTCTTCCCTTTAGCAATCAGCAAGGCTCCTTTGGTGATCTTCCAGTTTCTGCTGCCGAATGTAACTGCATAGCCTTCCTCATCCAGCTGCCCAACTGAAAGTAGATTTCTCCTCAAACCATGAATATGTCGGACACCATTCAGTTTCAACATGCATCCGTTCGGAGTCTTCACGTGGACTGTACCCTTTCTGACAATTTTAAGAGGCTCATCATCAGCAAGATACACCTCTCCAAAATTGTCGGGTGTATACTTTTCCATCACTTCAGCATTACCACATGAATGGAACGAAGCTCCAGAATCCAGAACCCATGACTCCAACGGACTGCTCATGCTCAGGATCAGTAGATCATCGCCAGATGATTCTACCGCTGCATTGGCGGATGTCTTCTCCTTCTGATCCTTGATCTGCTCCTTGCACTGGCTCTTGAAGTGTCCATACTCCTCACAGTTCCATCACTTGATCTGACTTCTGTCCTTCTTGCCCTTGCTGTTTGATTTGAATTTGGATCTTGATCTATCCCGATTTGACTTTGACTTCGACTTCGTTCTGCCCCGGTTCTCTGTACTCAACGCCGATCCGGAAGCCAAGCCTGATTCCTTCCTGCGAATTTCTTCGCTGACCACCAAATTTCTGACTTCATTGAATTTCAGTTTCTCCTTCCCTGTCGAAGCGGTGACTGCAGTCACCGTCCCGTTTCAGCTTTCTGGTAAAGAAGACAACAGAATTAAGGCGTGAATCTCGTCGTCGAATTTGATCTCAACCGTGCTCAATTGTGTGGTGATTAAATTGAACTCGTTGAGATGCTCCACAACTCTCGTACTTTCTGACATCTTTAGGTTAAAAAGACGTCTCATCAGGTGAACCTTGTTTGCAGCGGACAGTTTCTTGTACATATCCGACAATATCTGCAACATCTCCTTTGTCGTTTTTGCTTTGACGGTGTGTAGGGCAATGTTTCTGGACAACGGCAATCGAACCACGCTCATCGCCTTCTTGTCCGGCAACTTCCAATCGCTCTCCTTCATGTCTTCCGGTTTGTCATCCAGATGTTGATACAGATCTTTGCCGTACAGGTAATCTTCGATCAGCAACTTCCAGAAACCGAAATCAGTCCCATAAAAAATAAATTAATAAACGTGTTTCCAAAAATAAATTAAGAAAAGTTTTGGTTATACAGTCTCTAACACCTTACAGAGAGGAGTGTTCTTCCGGTGAAATTCAAGGCCTTCTGCCGATCTCCAAATCCAAGGTCCGAACCTTCGCTTCAATGGCTGAAAAACAAGCTCCGCCGCAGAGGATGACTACGCAAGGAACCGCAAGCTAAAAAGCTATTTGATAATTGGTGATGAAGACCACAGTGAACCCGACGAAGACCACTCTAGGAATCCATCTCATTTGTTGCTCACGCACGAGTACCGGCAATGAAGGTCGAAGCCCCTGAAGAAAGCATCACACCAGATCCGTGTGGGGAAGATGGGAAACTGGGAAAGAAAAAAAGAAAAGAAAAGAAAAAGGAAGCCAAAAAAATTAAACAATTGCCACATTGTCTGCCATGTGGCCCGCCACGTACGAAGCTAACCGCGAAACCGTTTATGCACCAGCAAAAAAGTCCAATTGAGTTTTTTAAGAGTTTAGGGGCTTAATTGAGTGTTTTTAAAGTACGGGGACTTAATTGATAGTTTTCCCTATTAAAAAAGTATTTACTAGCACTGGTACATACACTTCTTTATTAAACTGGATAAAATCTAACTGGAATAAAGATGGTATAATCTACTCCGTAATTACCTAGACGTACGTACACGAGCTAACTTTGAATTTTTAAAGACATTTCAAACCATGTTATTCTCGAATTTCATTATTAAATCTCTTATCTATATACTCCCTCCGTCCCAGGGAGAAGTTCCCACTTTCCTTTTTTGGTAGTCCCAACAAAAAGTTCCCATTTCCCTAAATGGAAAGTTATCCTACATCAAAACAGTGTCAAACAGTGCCAAACAGTGTCGAAACAGTGCCAAACAGTGTCGAAACAGTGCCAAACAGTAACATTTACCCCTCAGTAACTTTATTTCCTAAATATGTGTGAAAGTCAACCCGGGAACTTCTCCCTGGGACGGAGGGAGTAGTAAATTAAACCATGTTATTCTATCTTTTGTACGGTGCATCACCCAGTAATCATTTTTATATGTATGCTTCCCACGTATCACACCTAAGATAGTAAATGCATTGAATGTGTCCGGTATGCACTCATATACTACGTGCTTGGTATTTCTTAACCTCGCCCTAATCTGTTTTTTTTAAAAAAAACCTCGCCCTAATCACGTGTTAAGATTTGCTTACTCCCTCTATTTGTACGCTAAAAAAATTACCACTAATATTCATGACATCAATTAATTAATTAATTTAAATTTATTTCACATTTGCACCCCATGTTGACTTTTGAAGATCTCCAATGTTAAAGTGTTGAAAGAACATCTGCGAAATGAGAGATAGATACAAAAAATAATAATGTCATTTCTTCCTCTTTAATGTTAAAAATGTGAATTTTCAGTTTTTCTCTATTGATAAATGTCAAAAACAATGTCCAGATTTTAACATTATAATTGTATTCGACAGGATCATTACTGTTACTCCGTATACTAGTATATGATATGGCTAAATGGCCGGCTAAGGGCTTTTACCGGCGAGAGTGCTTCCCAGTTGCCAGAGTGAGTCCAACCACCACTGTTTTAATTTGGATTTTGGAATATACACTTTGATAAGCAGAAAAGAAATGTTCTGTTGCAAAGAAGACAATTTTGTCACCCTGCATGGGCGTTATTCAAACCCAATCAACTGTATCTTTGAAGTACTTCTTTCTTGCATATGCATGTTGTCCCCTAAAGTTTGACTTTTTTCTCCGCCACCACCACCACCTCCTCCTCCATCCCCGCCACCATTTCTCATTTCCTCCCAAAGATAACTCTTTCCTTAACTCTCACTGCTATCCACTCTCAGACCTGAGAAAATGGAGAGATCAAGAATCAGTAGTTCCCATTTCTTCTTGTTTTTCTTGTTTGTAAATTTGAGATATTGCTGTTTTAGAACAGTGGAGTCTCTTTCCTCTGATGGAGAAGCTCTGCTATCTCTTCTCAAATCAGCACCATCTTCTGCTCTCCCATCCTGGAACCCTTCAGCACCAACTCCATGTTCATGGAAGGGCATCACTTGCTCCCCACAAGGAAGAGTCATTTCCCTTTCTATCCCCAACACTTTCCTCAATCTTTCATCTTTGCCCTCCCAGCTCTCCTCCCTTTCATCCCTTCAGTTCCTCAACCTCTCCTCATCCAACATCTCAGGCTCAATCCCTCCATCTTTTGGCGAGTTGACTCACCTCAGACTTCTAGACCTCTCTTCCAACTCACTCACTGGGACTATTCCATTGGAGCTGGGAAAGCTCAGATCACTCCAGTTCCTATTCTTGAACTCAAACAGGTTGACGGGTCAAATCCCATTTCAGCTAGCAAATCTCTTATCCCTACAGATCCTCTGTGTCCAGGATAATTATCTAAATGGGTCGGTTCCTTCACAGCTGGGCTCATTGATATCGCTTCAGCAGCTCAGGATTGGAGGGAACCCTTATTTAACAGGGGAGATACCTCCAGAGTTAGGGTCTCTCACGAATCTGACAATGTTTGGGGCGGCGGCCACCGCACTCTCCGGCGTCATTCCGGCGACGTTTGGGAATTTGAAGAGGCTTCAGACATTATCAATCTATGATAGTGACGTGTTTGGCCCAATACCGCCTGAACTGGGAATGTGTGGAGATTTGACGAGCTTGTATCTGCACATGAACAATCTCTCTGGTTCAATACCCCCACAATTGGGGAAACTGAAAAAGCTCACCAGCTTGCTTCTATGGGGAAATTCACTCACGGGTCCGATCCCAGCCGACCTTTCAAACTGTTCCTCTCTTACGGTTCTTGATGTTTCTGCCAATGATTTGTCCGGCGAGATTCCGGCTGACTTGGGAAAGCTAACTGCTCTTGAGCAGCTCCACTTGTCTGATAATGGATTGACCGGGTCTATTCCGTGGGAAATCAGTAATTGCTCTAGCTTGATCACTCTTCAACTTGACAAGAACAAGTTATCTGGATCAATCCCTTCTGAAGTAGGGAAGTTGAAAAATTTGCAAAGCTTTTTACTTTGGGGGAATTCGGTTTCTGGAACCATTCCAAGTTCTTTCGGAAATTGTAGTGAGCTTTATGCCCTTGATCTCTCCAGGAACAAGCTTACAGGAACCATCCCGGATGAGATCTTTAACCTGGGTAAGCTGAGTAAGTTGTTACTTTTAGGTAATTCATTGACTGGAGGGTTGAGCAGTAGTGTTTCCAGATGCCAGTCACTTGTTAGGCTGAGGCTCAGTGAAAACCAACTTTCCGGACAGATCCCAAAGGAGCTGGGGCAGTTGGAGAATCTTGTATTTCTTGATCTTTACATGAACCACTTTTCCGGCAGCCTGCCCGCTGAGATCTCCAGCATTACAGTTCTTGAGCTCTTGGACGCCCATAACAATTACCTGACTGGTCCAATTCCATCACAGTTGGGGGAGCTCGTGAACTTGGAGCAGCTTGATCTGAGCATGAACAGCTTTTCTGGTGAGATTCCTTGGAGTATAGGTAACCTCAGTTACTTGAACAAGCTCAATCTTAACAATAACCTCCTCACGGGTTCCATCCCGAAGTCTCTTAGAAGCATGGAGAAACTAACTCTGTTAGATTTGAGCTCCAATGGCCTTTCCGGTTTAATCCCCCCTGAGATTGGTTATATGACAAGCTTAACAATCAGTTTGGATTTGAGTTCGAACCGTTTCACCGGAGAAATCCCAGAAACGTTTTCCGGTTTGACTCAACTCCAATCGCTCGACCTCTCACACAACATGATTACCGGGAGAATAACAACGCTAAGCCTCCTTACTAGCCTCACTTTCCTAAATGTGTCTTACAATAATTTATCAGGCCCCATTCCTGTGACACCGTTCTTTAGAACTCTAACCATGAGTTCTTTGTATGAAAACCCTAGCCTTTGTGAATCCAGTGATGGCTTTTCTTGTTCTTCCTCCCATCTGAACAGAAGGAGCAGTTTTGGCTTGGGCCGGACCACTGTTTTGGTCTTAGTTGTCGTTTTGACTTCTGTAGCCTTGGCAGTTGCAGCAATGTGGGTTATTGTTACTAGGACTTACGGTAGCTCTGGCGGGGATAATGTTTTTTCGTATCCATGGATTTTCATACCATTTCAAAAGCTCAATTTTAGCATTGAGAACATCTTGGACTGCTTGAAAGAGGAAAACGTTATAGGGAAAGGATTCTCTGGTGTGGTATACAGAGCAGAAATGCCAAACGGGGAGTTGATTGCTGTTAAGAAGCTTTGGAAGACAAATAAAGATGACGAAGAACGTGTGCAAGGCTACTTCGCTGCAGAGATTCAAATCCTTGGGCATATTAGGCACAGGAACATAGTGAAACTGGTGGGGTATTGCTCCAACAAGAGCACAAAGATTCTTCTCTACAATTACATTTCGAATGGAAATTTACAACAGCTGTTGGAAAGCAACCGGAACTTGGACTGGGAAACGAGGTATAAGATTGCAGTTGGATCAGCTCAAGGCCTTGCGTATCTCCACCATGACTGTGTTCCCGCCATTCTTCATAGAGATGTCAAATGTAATAACATACTCTTAGATTCGAAGTACGAGCCTTATATCGCAGATTTTGGCCTTGCAAAGCTAATGAGTTCTCCAAATTATCAGCAAGCCATTTCCAAAGTTGCAGGTTCTTATGGATACATAGCTCCAGGCAAGATTTTCTAAGCTTATGTTCATATCATCCAAAAAAAGAGAAGTATTTGAGTAAGACACCTCTTTTTATTAGGCTATTATAGTTAATGAATGGTTACTGATATATCCCTAAAACTTATTTTCAAGATTATTTGGAATACTTAAACGACTTCCTCTGTCCCTTTTTATTAGGTTAATACATCTGTGTTTATTGTAATGTTTACAAACACTACACTAACCTTAACTATACTGTAAAAGTAATTAACTTAACTGATAACAAATAGAGAACTTTGAAAAAAAATACGTGCATTGCAGTCCAATAGTCCATATATTAACAATAATCGATAATCAGAGAAATTTGAGAATATATATGAATTGATAATAGGAACAAATTGAGATTAGATTATGGGAGACTTCTGTCAAAATATGAGTTTGAGCAAATTGATTCTTTAAAATCTTCCTTTAATATTTTGAGTATGATTTGTTATCCCTCCTAAGGATTTTTGTGTAAACTTGGACTGCAAGTAGGTTAACATTTGTGTAAGTTGTCTACTCCCTGTAATTCTGTCTAGAAGTAAAGCTACTGTTATCCCTGCTAGTACATTGTACTTCTCATTTTTTCTGCTATCTGTCATTTTAAATTAAGGGCAAACTTGTCCAGACAACTACAAATACTCCCTTCTGGCCTTCTTTATTCCTTGTGCTAGTCAACATTGGCCAAGTAAAAGGGGACGGGGGAGTATAAATTTTTACTTAAAGCTGAAATTGTTCTTTATATCTGGACTTTTTTTTTAGTACAAATATGTTTTGAAAGAAAATATTGCCACTTTTGGTCCAAAGAGTATTTGATCATTTTTCACTTCGGACATTTTCGGCCTCACGTGACCTAATAGTCACGGGATAACTAAGACCAGATTTCTCGGGATTATATGTGTGTGCTTTCTTCTACATTGGTATAATATCATTGCGGAACGGCTAACAAAAAGATACATATTCTGATATTCAGATATAAGATTTTGAACTCCTCTTATCAAAATTGACGTTTTAGCATAGATCACACCAAGTCTTTTTAATGTTTCTTTCAAGTTACACTACACAAATTGTCTAAATTTGCATATTAAGATTGTGATGGCAAATTGATGGTTTGTTTTGAATGCAGAATATGGTTACACAATGAACATAACAGAGAAGAGCGATGTGTATAGCTTCGGAGTGGTTTTGCTGGAAATACTGAGCGGGCGAAGCGCAGTTGAGTCACACGTCGCTGGGGACGGGCTTCACATTGTCGAGTGGGTGAAGAAGAAAATGGGAAGCTTTGAACCTGCGATCACCGTTCTGGATTCAAAGCTTCAAGGAATGCCTGACCAAACGGTGCAAGAAATGCTGCAAACACTGGGAATAGCCATGTTCTGCGTGAATTCATCGCCAGGTGAACGTCCCACAATGAAGGAAGTGGTTGCACTTCTGAGGGAAGTGAAGAGTCCGGTTGAGGAAGTCGTCAAAACTTCCCAACCTCTTCTTACAAAGGAGACGCCCTCAACCACTACTAGTAGTCATCATTAAAGTTGACTCATTTGTGGCAGAGGGAGTTCTTTATAGATGATGAGGGAGAAAAGTTCAACAGCTTCTACCTTTGTAGTTTGGATAACGTTCGGCTTGAGTTTTGTATGTACATATTTAGAGTTTGCATATAGGAACAATTTGGGCAGCGTCTATTGTATTGCTTAGAACATCTCAAAGGCAAAAACGTGAACGGTGCATTTGACACGTGAAAGATAGATATATAAAAATTAATAATAAATACAATATCTTTCTTTATCGTAATGATCTTATATGTTTTTGATAACTTTTTCTTCATAATGTCAAGTACAATGCTTAGATGTAAAAATCATGATTGACTTTGTCGATAAGAAGTATATTAAAAAGAGTAAGTCGTGGAAAGAAAAAGAGAGAGAAATATCTTTGATTTAATTTTACGCCTCTATCTCTCAAATTATATTATGCATCGCGTACTTTGTTGCATTGACGATATTTTTAACCCTCTACTTTGTGCCCTCGGTTTTATATTTCTCAACAATTTACCTATATATCTCAGAAGTTATGGAGCTATGATTGAAACATAGGCAATTTTCAAAATAAGATTATTCCAACTCTAAAAGAAGAATTGAACTTTTTTTAATTCATTTTCAGAATGGGTTTACCGCTATTTTAGCATAGCACAAGGATATTTATTTTAAGAAACAATATTTTTGCAACAAAGAAATTATTGTTGTAAATAGGAGTAGAACATGTATTATGTGCATACATAGTATTACTCCTTTGAAGTATTAGGAGTATATCTTTATTTTATACTAAAATAGGATCCTTTGAATTGGTCCTAGAGAAATAATAGAGGTAATTATTTTTTGTAGGATCAAAAGCTTCTACCTTTGTAGTTTGTGGCTATGTTTGGCAAACAGCTTATAATCCAATTTTCAGCTTCTTTGACCCCAATTAGATGATTTGACTCTCTAAACAATCCATTTTGTTGTTTGGTAAACAACTTATTCTCTTAGCTGTTTGAACCCAACAAGACGAAATGAGAAACGCTAGGCTTGGCAATGTTTTCAATCGGCTGGTTGATTAATTTCTATTGTACCCTTTCACTTAGTATTGCCGCTGCTTGAAAAATATTTTTTTAGTTGCTTTAGTTTTGAGTAATTGGGTGTGAAGGTGTGCTGTGCTGCTCTTCTACACCGTCGTTATTTAGTAGTAGGCTTTTAGACTTTTAGTTAGTCCTTATTTATTTGTCTACATGTTTTTATAATTTGTTTATTGACTTCTTTCTAGTTTATAAATTGACTTTAATTAATTATTACAAGTATTAAAATTGCTATTTGAATATTCTTTTTTGGTTAATAGAATGATTTTAATTATAGGTTACCTATGTGAATGTATCAATTTCTAACACCAAAAGTGAGTTATAAATTACTAATGTCCTAAAATTTCTAAAATATGAATAATTTATATATAATCAAATAAAATTAAATACTAATGTCCTTATATGTCTTTTTACACACAAACAGTTGTTCTTAAGCAGCTAATTTACCAAACATTTACTGACAACCAGCTAACATGATCAGCCAACTAAAACAGCTAAGACAACCAGCTATTTTCAATCAGCTATCATAACCAGCTAACAGCTAACGGCTAACAGCCGATTGCCAAACAAAGCCTGTATAAAGTTCGACTTCAGTTTGGTATGTACAACTTTAGAGTTTGCATTTAGGAACAATTTGCATAGTGTTTATTGCATTGCATCTCAAGTGCATTTGACACGAGAAAGATAGATATACAAATAATACTCCGTAATAAATATCATACAACTAATAGTCTCACTAAAAGCATTTTTCCGTGTTATGATTTTATATTAATGAATTTCGCGAAAATTGCACCTATAGGCTTGATGGTCATCAAAGGCACGGAAATGAACAACCATTGATAGGGATGGAGGCTGTGAGTCTTGGGGTGAAGATGGATGTTGCAGCCACCGTAAGGGAAACTACGGTTATCATCAAACCGCATTGTTGATAATCGATGAATCCCTTTCGATGCAACCCGTTGTTCTCCCAAATCTTTTCAATAGAAACTCTTTTAGGAGAAACCCACCACGGTCTGACGGTCTCTAACATCAACTTCCTCACGAGATCTAGAGTTAGCAAAGAGAACAACTACTAAATAAGTTACTTTTATCTTCCTTTTCAAGCTTTACTCTTTCTAATGAGATATGCTGATTGTTTAGATTCTGAGAGATTATGAGTATGTTTGATACAATTAGTTGAAAAGATATTTAGTACTACTGAAATTATGGATTGTCTAGTAGGAGTAACTCTCATCTTTCAGTGAATGAAAGAGTTTAAAAGAAAAAAATAGTAATTACATAGTATTTAATAAAAATATGATTGTTTGATTTAAAGTTGTATTTGGAATACAAGCTGTTCTGATTAATTAATGCTAAAAACTCCACGCAGCTCCTTAAAAAATCTTTATTATTAAAAAAATGTCTTCAAAATTGTCATGTAAGGAATTAAAGACTATTCAAATAATAGGAAAGTTAGAAGTAAGAACTTTTGCCTACCAAACATGCACATGTAACACAAACTCATGAAGTAAGAATTATAAAATAATTTTATTTCTTATAGAAAATATATTGGTTCTAGCTAATTTTCCAATTATTAATATTCTTTGTTGATACCCTCCGTCCTAAATTGTTTTGCAAAATCAACATTTAGAAACTGCATTAAAATCTTTTCAAAGTTGTAAACTCCAAATTAGAATATAATAAAAAATCGACATCTTAATTAAGCAAATAAAATGAAATTATTTGACCAAAAAATTCAATTTTAAAAATCATTTCGGGATAGAGATACTATTTTATTTTATTTTATTTTATTTTATTTTATTTTATTTTATTTTATTTTATTTTATTTTATTTTATTTTATTTTATTTTATTTTATTTTATTTTATTTTATTTTATTTTATTTTATTTTATTTTATTTTATTTTATTTTATTTTATGAGATGGGTCAGAATGTCAGATCAGGCAAGCATTACACAAGTCACTTATCCGGATTTAATAACCCGACCCGTTTAACTCCATATGCTCGTTGCTGAGATTGATGAAGAATTGAATGAAGAATAGTTTTTTCAATCCAAGACGACGACCAGGAAAAGAATGAGCTGTGCAACAGTGATAGCTAAAATGGGAGCTTCAGGCAGAGCATTGCTGGGTTTCTCCTCATTTCTCCCCTCTACAGCCAGACGTCTCTCTTTTCTCAGACCCTCCTACGCTCTACGCTTAAACCCGCACAGGGTTTTGCAAAGGTTTAGACCCCTCTGCTCGGCCGCCGCAACATATACCGCCGAGGAGGATGCATTACAGCCGGCAAAGCACAGCCTTTTATTGGAAAGGCTCAGACTTAGACACCTCAAACAGTCTGCAAAAGCAGACGTCACGCATCCAGTTAATGGATTAAAGGGTGTGAAGGAGAATGACCATGACGAGGTTACTAGGAAAACTGGGAAGCAGAAAGTGGTGGCTGCTTCGAGTTTTCAGGAGTTAGGGTTGAGTGAAGAGGTTATGGGGGCTTTGGGAGAAATGGGTATATCTTCGCCCACTGAGATTCAGACTATTGGGATACCTGCTGTGCTTTATGGTAAAAGTGTGGTGTTGGGATCGCACACTGGTTCTGGAAAGACTCTTGCTTACCTTTTGCCGATTGTTCAAGTGAGCTTCCTCACTGGATCGTGAATTTTCAATTACTTAGTCCATTTATATCTGCTGTTGTACAAAAGAGCAATAATTTTTTTTAGTGTTTGGGCTGGGAAAATTTTGCTTATCATGATGCCTAGATTGTGGAGCAATCACCATAAGAGGTTTTTGTAAATGAAAAAGTAATACTTGAGCTTTAAGTTGCTGTATTTGCTAAGCATAACCCACTAGCATCTTTAGAGAAACTATACATATAAGTGCGATTTACATTTCCTGTTTACAATATTCAATTAAACTATCCATTCAGAGTATTTTTTAGAACATTCTGTTGGATCTTTTGAAAGTTAAAGAAAAGCACTTAACTTGTGAATAAAAGAATGACAAATGAAATATACCCAAATATGATATGAACACAATGGTTAGTTGTCAATAAGTGACGGGAAACCATTATGATCATTAAAAATATAAATCTCTATTATGCATTAATGTTAAAGAGTTGAAGTTATTCACCACCATCCTGTCATTTGAGGCTTTTACCTGACTATACCACTTTTCACATTCTGCGTTCTACAAAAAGAATAATAACAATAATAATGTTATGTTATTTTCTGCTTTTAGTTGCTCAGAAGAGATGAGGAATTAAATGGCATCCTAATGAAACCAAGACGACCTCGAGCTGTTGTTCTTTGTCCCACAAGGGAGTTATGTGAACAGGTTTATTCAGTTTGCTGTGTATTTTGATTTCCTCTTTTCAAAATTATAACACCCTTTTTCAACATTTGAAGTGCTGAAAAACATATTTTTTATGCTGGCTGTAGGTTTTCCGGGTTGCAAAATCCATCAGCCATCATGCACGGTTCAGATCCACCATGGTAAGTGGTGGTGGGCGTTTAAGGCCTCAGGAAGATTCCTTGAATGGCCCAATTGACATGGTTGTTGGAACCCCTGGCAGAGTTCTTCAACACATTGAGGATGGAAATATTGTTTATGGGGACATCAAATACTTGGTAAGTATTATGTATTTAAAATACATTTCTTCAGTACTGGCTGTTTCCTCATTTCTCTAGTTATTTTGTTATTCATGCAATTTTTTATATAACTTTGGAAGTACTACTTGATTTCATCTTTCAGAACAAATCTTGCTGTTAATTCATGTAAACAGGTGTTGGATGAGGCTGATACTATGTTTGATCGGGGTTTTGGTCCGGACATCCGCAAGTTTCTGGGACCATTGAAATCACGTACTGCTAAATCTGACGATCAAGGATTTCAAACTGTCTTGGTAACTGCAACCATGACAAAGGTCTGCCTTATTGAGTTACATGGTTATCCTTTTAACTGTAGGCTGGTATGCCTAATAATAGCAGAGGGTAGTCAGTTTGGTTATGAGGCAGAAGTCACGTCACTTATTTAGAGTCCCTATGTATGTATAAACAGAGATAAATAGAGAGGAATCCCCCCCCCCCCCCCTGCCCCGCTGTTTGTTATGTTCTTGATGAGCTGGGAGAAGGGAAGTACATAAGAAGTAGTCCTAGATATAAGGAGGCAGATTTTTATGATTTGAGGAAGATTCAAATTTCTTTACTTTTTACTGTCCACTCTAAGGGCTCTAAACTTTTAGGCTATATTTGGTGTAGGGAAAATTTTAGGCAAATGGCAGAAAAGGCTAAGGAAATTTCGCTGGTCAGGATTTACCTCAAAAAATGAAAAAGAAAATGAAATGCAATTAATGTCTTAAAGCTTACATATATTTCGGTGGGTGGTTGCTTGGTATTTTTCCTCAACATTTTGTTTAGTTCCAAATTTCTCCTCTTTTTACTCTATTTCTTTCCCTGGCATTTCCCACATCTTAAATGGACTCTTAATGTTTCAGTGGGGGTGAGAGGCATGTATGTATACATCAATTATATTCGTCGGAGAAGGCGGATTTTGATTATCTTTTGTATGAAAAATTTCAGGCAGTGCAAAAGCTAGTTGATGAGGAGTTTCAAGGCATCGAACACTTGCGTACTTCTTCATTGCATAAAAAGATTGCATCTGCTCGGCATGATTTCATCAAACTTTCAGGTCCAGAGAACAAGTTGGAGGCATTATTGCAGGTCTATTCTTATTTGTGTCCTGTGCATATTAACTCCCCTCTCAGTCATTGCCAATTAATCAAAATATAGATCTTCCATTTTGTTTGAATTTCAACTGTTTCACTTTTGCCAACAAATCATTTTGTCCATCAATATAGCTGGTATTTAATTTTCAATTCATAAAGATCATTTTGAAAATATATGTTATGAGTCTTATGACAAATATCTCAATTCTCAACATTTAAAAAATAAAAATTTGCTCTTATAATTAATAAAAATATGTTTGAAATAGGATATTTGAATAGTGTCAAAGTCAAACAGTTGCAATTAATATTGAACAGAGGAAGTATTGAAAATTTCAATTTAGATTATTTATTTATTTATTTATTTGTTTGTTTGTTTTCAAATAACTATTGTTGGGGAAGATGCATGGAAGAGGTGTAGTTATTTATCTGATGCCCAAGATTTTGTTGGCAGGTACTTGAGCCAAGTTTAGACAAGGGAAACAAAGTAATGGTCTTCTGCAATACATTGAACTCCAGTCGGGCTGTTGACCATTTTCTGAGTGAGAATCAAATTTCAACTGTCAACTACCATGGAGAAGTTCCCGCAGAGCAAAGGGTTGTGAACCTAGGGAAGTTCAAGAGCGAGGAGGGAGATTGCCCAACCCTGGTCTGCACAGACTTGGCTGCTAGGGGACTAGACCTTGATGTGGATCATGTCATCATGTTTGATTTTCCTTTAAATTCGGTAAGCCATCACTTTTATTTTGGTGCTCTTCTTCATATTCTACTTTTTTCTCTGAGGAGAGTTACTAGAAAGCCTAACCCCTCCCTCCCCTGCTCCACTATTCTACCTCTCAGATTGATTACCTACATCGCACCGGAAGAACTGCTCGCATGGGTGCCAAAGGTAAAATTCATGTCTTCTAGATTATTCCTGAATATAACCACATAATGCGTGTGCTTGTATGCATGTGTGTGTAAAAGACACTTAGGTTAGTGTGTATACAGTTAGAGATTATTGAAATGGCTCAATTTTTTAACTTAGGTAGGGATTTAGGTTAAATGTGTGTTTGCCATGATGAGCTGAAACCCTGAAAGTTAACAGTGGCCTGTGATCGTGGTAAGAGAGTATGATAAAATTAATTGTCAAGTACCTTATATGTGTAAAAGATATAAAATGGCTCTTAAATTAATGAAATAATTTGCTAACTATACCGTGCAATTGGTTGCTTGTGTTGTTTTTTCTTAACAGTTGACAGTTAAGCCTGCTTGGTTGCTTGTGTTCATGCTCTTTATTATTCTAACCATTTTCTTCTAAAGGATGCTCATTCATATTTTTGGATGTACGATTATCATGGTACATCTAAAATCTTGATATACCATATATGGTCACACAAAAGATGCATAAATAGTTCTATTTGTAAAAAGGATAAATGTCTTTAGGGGAAATATAGTACCTTATTTTGAGATGGCAAATTTTCAAACAAGACCTTACTTCACGGAGTTCACACTCTTATTTTATATACCAAACATACATAGTAGCTTCATTTGATTTAAGATAATGTCTGAGCTCCCAAATAAGCCCTACAAAAGTACCAAATATATTACTCCCTCTCCAAAAATAAGCTTTGTGCCTTGTTGGTCTATCCCAAAATAATTTTCCTCCTTCCATTTAAGAAAGAAATGTTTGGTGTTTACCATTTCCCTCATTTCTACCTCAATCTTACATCTTTTCCATTTCGATCACTTTCTTAATAAGTGTGCCAAACCTTAACAAGTACATTTCAGGACAAGAGTATTTCTTTTGTGAACTAAACTTTGCATTCTACAAGAACTACATTTCAGGACTGAAGGAGTATTTCTTTTGTACTTTGTGTTCTTCCCTACCACAATTAGTTTTTATTAGACTGCTGCTTCCTTCTTATCTACAATTTGAAAAACCTCTAATACAGGGAAGGTGACTAGCTTGGTTGCTAAACGGGATGTGCTTTTGGCAACTAAGATTGAAGAGGTATTAAAGAAGAATGAGAGCTTAGAGTCTGTCTCTGTTGACAGTATTAAACGTGACATTGCCAGATCTGACATTACAAAGCAGAAAGAGAAGTTGGTTAAAGCTTCAAATGCAAAAACTAAGAGCCAAAATGCATCCTCAGGTAAAGCGTCTTCTTCTAATACCAGCAGCAGGAAAGGAGTGCCACCTGTCAAAAAAACTTCAAAGAAGACGACATTTTCTAGCAAATCACCGCGGACTCCATTATCAAAACAGCCTAAAAGAGGAGTAGCAATCAAAGTATCTAAGAAGACATCTAGTGGGAAGAAACAGTCAGATAGCCCAAAGCCTAATGGATCAAAACTAAATGTTGTCGGATTTCGGGGCCGTAGTTCATCGTCAAGTGATAAGAGAGGGAATATTAAGGTTTCTTGATGTATGTATGCAGAACACAGTCCTTTTGGTCTTGAGACTCTTGACTCATGATTATTTATAGTTGTAGGGTAAATTTATTTTCCTTCCTCACTTTTCACACGGTCAAGGTTTCACCATGTCACCGAGAGATAACGGGTTCAAGTCTCGCGAGCAGTCTCTTGTCAAATTAGATAGGGGACGGCTTACCCCTTATACGTCCTTGTGGTGGCCTTTTTATATTGATTGTAGACTTGTAGTGTATATATTTTCTAATAACCGCATCACTTCCTCTGGTTCCAATACTAGGACAGGGGTACATAGCGTTTTGTAAAAATATTGATAAAATTGTAAGGCAACAACAATGGTGTGAATCATTTCCTGGAAAGAGCATTTCTTTGCAGGCTTGCAGCACGAAATGGGGGAAGGATGATGTGCCTTGCTGTGTCATAGATGACACTGGAGATATGAGAGAGCTGGCATTAGATCCCATGCATATGTTTTTCTCCCACGCTGATGAAACTTATTCTCCACTGTTAGAAGTGTGCTGAATTGAGTCCTGCTGAATTGAGTCCTGTAAGTGTATCAGGCTGCAATCCATTTATGATAAATTCTTGTAAAAGGGAGAGCTTCCATGAAGGATATCAACAAAAAAGAAAGATGGGCAATCATATCAAAACGGTATAGTAGTTGACTAGCATTAAATGGGATTGGCCTCAAATGGGCTTCCTAGAAATATAGTGTACTAGTACATTATTCAAAAGAATATCTCTATTTTGAGAGATTTTATAATGATAATCCCTACCGAATGGATTCATAAAAATAATCCGAACTAATAATGATGTTCATAAGAATAAACTATATGCATGTGAGCATGTCCATTTAATAATCTCAATCCCTACTCCAACTCTGTGTTCTTCTCAGGTTGAAATGTTGAATTCAATCTAAACTTCATTTTGTCTCAAATTCATTTTTGCCAAATGTGATCCTCTCTAGGTCAGAAGATAGAAGTGTTATCGAGACGAAGAGTAATGAAATAAAAAGTGAAAGTATTAGAGTATTAAATGTGCTTTAGTTTGAATTTACTTCAATTTACTCTTGTGAATGCTAATGTTACTTCGAATTATTTTTATTAAAGTTTTCAGCAGAGATTATTATTATAAAATATCTAAGAGTGAATTATTTTTTCCAATTTTGCCTTTTTTATTTGTAGTCATGGACTGAACCGGGCCCGGTTCCGGGTAAAAAAAAATTCAGAGAGGCTCGGGACCGGCCCATAAGTTGACCGGTGCCGGTCCGGGTCCGGTTCTAATTTTTTCTTGATTATTTTATCCCCTACCCCCATCCCCCCATCACACAACCCATATGAAACACCCATTCCAGCCCATTTAAACCCAACCCAAAGTCCCAAACCAAAAAAAAAAAAGAATAATTGAAATGAACCGGGCCCGAAACCAACCGGGCCGGTTCTCAATTCCCTCAGCCCGTACCCGCCCCCGGTTTCCCCTCCAAACCGGGCCTAGACCGAGTACCGGTACCTGGTTCTCGAGCCGGGCTGGTTCCCGGTCCGGGTGGCCCGAATCGGGTCCAAGCCTATTTATTTGTCATAAAAATTTGATATTTTTTCTTTTAAATATTGAATTTATGATTCTAAGTTATTTGTCATCAATTTTTCAGTTCAATTAGATTCAGTTAAACCAAACCATTTTATGCACCCAGTCATCACTCCCTCCATTTCGGCTTCACTCCAAAGTCCAAACCATTACGGCTGCCCTCTCCACTCCCTCGTCTCCATTTCTTTCAGTAATCATCAGAAACAATCAACGATGTACCGGCGCTCCTCGATCTGTCTCTACCAATCCGTTCTCAGACGCCATTTCCTGACATTTGCAAACCCTAATTCTTCGTTCCCGCCCGCCCAACCCTTAATTTCAGAGCCGTACCCGCTGTTGAAACCCGGAAGAAGCCCTCTTCGTTGTCTTCATCCGGCGAGCTTGAAGGTTCTTCCCAATCTGAGACTCTACAGCGCCGACACAGACAGAGAAGTGGACACGATCAACCTCAAGTTCGCAGAAGCTAGGGAGGACATAGAGACGGCGATGGAATCTAAAGAAACTCTGTATTTCGATGAGGAAGCTGAATGTGCACGCAATGCTGTCAATGAGGTTCTGGAGTTGTACGATGGCCTGCTGGCGAAGCTGCCTGAGAAAGAAAAGGGTGCTGTACAGAGATCCATGGGGCTGAAGATTGAACAGCTAAAAGCTGAGCTTGATCAATTGAATGAATGATTGATTTATGTAGTGAGGTTTGTCCGGTTTTTCATTTGAGTATGGGTTTAACTATCAATTTATCCTACAAGTACAATTCATGTGTATTTTCTATCTAAAGTATTCCTATTACCCCGTATTTCAGAGGTGAGAAATAATTGTTCATTTTTTTGTCGCAAGGGAAATCAATCTCTTCATAAACTATTTCAGTTTACACGGGTATGACAAATCTTTGTTCGCTTTCAAGGTCTTTATACATCTATTGATGTGAACCATTTCGAAAATCGAAACTGATGTTCTGTTTGGTACTTTGGTTAGAAGGATATAAATCCAACAGATGTTTGATAATATTAACTCTGGCTATGAAAGTTTTGTTCTATTTTTGCTTGAGTTGACATGAGGATTACTAAAAATTAATTGGCATATGTCTGTATTCTGTGTTTTAGACAAAAAACGAAGTTCTTAAAATTTTCATTGTTCAATGTTATCGTGCTTGTTGTGCAACACAAATTATACGAATACATTATCAAGTAAAAAAAATGAAAACTTATACTGGTATCCAATGAGACTATCTAAGGGGGCATCCACAATGGTTGATATGAAGTTTAATTATGGGAACATGATCTTTATATTTGTAAGGTTTTGTTCCCGTTTTTAATCTTGGCACTGGCTTTAAAACTTGAGACCTTTTATACTAACAAAGAAAGAGAAATAAATAAAGATTCATGCATATATGATGAAGGCTCAGACTTAGCCAGAGCTAAGTGGGCGAAAACCTGTTCTAACTCAAAATATTGTAAGAGAAGAAATTAGAGGTCGAATGATTGAGTAGGGCTTGCTAACTGATCATACTATTCAAGAGCACAGAATCACAAGATTCGTATTCATACACTCCACCCTGAAGAGTTTCCTGTGATTCAATGGATTCCTAAGAATGTCCGTCTCAGCTATGAAGAAGGTTTGGATCTTTTAGTCTTCCATTGACTGATGGGGATGGGGGGGTGGGGATACTGAACAACCCGTGTAATTTGAATTTTGAACCGACTGAAAATAATAATGTGAAGTGAATCATCGATTTACTTCTTTATGATCTTGCTCTTACTGGCAAGATACTACCCATTTTCAACTTCACAATATTATTTGGTTTTAATGAAAATGGGGTGCACATTGCTTGACAATATCAAATAAAGCATCAATGAGTGAGTCAAATTAACTACCTAATCCAATCCAAACATAGCCGTACGGGTGGGTGTATTTTGGGGTGCAGATGGTTTGGGTTGGACTAGTGGGTGGAAATTTTACAAACAGCTCCATTAAATTTTACAAAAAGCTCGAAACTAACCCGATGTCCTGACCCAACCCAATAGACATATCACATATGAACTCTCAACCTTTGACTAATTATGCCTTTCGGAATAAAAATGAAAGCAAAAGTTTACTATCAACCTTTGACCAATTACCCAACCCAATACATATTGCACAAAAGCAGCTTGAAGAAAATTGGACTACATATTAATACTATAGGGGAAAAGGTGGTTTCTGTTACAGAAATATAAGTAGAAAGCTCGGTCTAACATCTCCCAATTTATACTGCGCTCTGCTTAAAATATGGACTAAGTCAAGTATTGTTGTACATTTCGGCCTTCAAAACCCCAACATAAGTCAGGTTCCTGTACTGTTCAGCGAAGTCCAAACCATATCCAACTACAAAAGAATCTGGGCACTATCATGAAGAAACCAAACAAACACTCATTAGCAGCCACAAAAAAGTCTTAGTTTAACGAATTTCATCTTTGAAGGCAACAAATCCATTTCATGTTTACCTGAAAACCACAGTAAAACTTGCCATCTCCCACAAGCTCAAGATTGACCTTCCGTCTGGATGACTTATCAAGAAGGGCACAGACCGATACAGAGGATGCTCCTTTAGCTTTCAAATGATCAATCAGGCATGATAAAGTGTGTCCAGTGTCCACTATGTCCTCTACCTGTGGTTGTTGGTGTAAACCAAATTCGAACAGAAAAAATCATTTAGAGTGACACACTGACACTAAAACGTAACACGTTTCTTCAAATATACGCATTCGTGCTCTATTTCCCGGAGAAACAATGATGGTGAGATAAAGTTCAAGGAGGAATAAAATTGTAACAAAATCGAAGGTACAAGAAGACAGTAAAGAACATTAAATAATCTGAAGGTATTCCAGAACAAGATTTAGTTCCCCCACAGCTAAAGTGTACCAAAATTTATCAACCTCTCAATACCTCCCATGCGAGATTGCAAGAAGCCCTTAATTGTAATCCATCACTATAGTAAATAAGGTAAGCAAACAAAGAATAATATGAGTGACATTTAAGTCTCTTGTTGTTCCAGACTGAAGTCCCACAACTGCACATATAAGTGACATTTAAGTGCAGATATAAATAACTCACTTTACATATTTGCATATTTTCCTTGATTCCCACCTATTCATGTTCCAATTTGAAACAATATGTGTCCCTAAATTACCTATTCATTTACCATTTTGTTGTAGCCCAAAATTATCAATCTTTTTATGGAAACATATGTGATTTAAATTGGTACTCGGCTTGTTCAGCCAGATAGTTAATGTAGAGAGGAAGAAGTGTGTTAAAGCTAGGAAAAGTGGAAAGATAACTTCAGAATGATGCACTTTGTCGAAACTTTTCTAGCCCAACGGAATATACACAGAAACTACATTTTTGACTTCGCAAGAAGTTAGCAATGGCTTACCAAAACCACATGCTTTCCTTGAACATCGATTTTCAAGTCGGAATAAATACTGGGCTTGCCACTAGACACTGAACCGGAACCATATGAGCTGACCCGAATGGAATCAACCGTGATTGGCAGGTTGATTTTCCTAACAAGATCGGCAAGAAAGATAAATGCTCCGTTGGCAACACCGACGAAGACTGGGGCGGCGGCGGCGGCGCTAGAGAACTGGTGGGTGATCTCAGAGGCGAGGCTGGAGACTCGGTCGGCAATTTGGTGTTCAGTCCAGAGCACCCTCTCTATGTGATCGTCCATATTAATGGTCATTTATGAATAAACTGGGATAGGTTTCAAGGCTGGACTGAATAAACTACTCCAGTGCTCCGTATAAAGTTGTAAACCCTTCAAACTTCTAGTATCTTTTTTTTCTTGTCAAAAAAAAAATATACTTGGTATATACTACGTAGTCGGTAGTAGTACTACCGTAGTACTAGGATTTAATTCTCGGTAAACATTAATTTTTCATCTCTAATACTCCTTTTCTAATTAATTAATTGTTCCTTGGGCAATCGGGACAGTATGTTGGTGGCAACCGGCGACGCCGGTGTCAGATTGATGGCAGAATTATTCTGGGATCTTTTGGATGGCGGCAAAATTTGCGGCTGTCGAATTGGCGGCGGCAGAACTGATTTGGAAATTTTTGGCGGATTCCGGCAGCCAGCAGCAACTCCGATAGGGGTGATCATGTCCAAGCTTCAAAGAATATCCCTATTTGCAAAATTCTACAAGCTTACTTATATTTTTGCACTTTCTATATGTTTTGCTCATATTTGGAGAATTATCTCTATTTATACGAAGTATCTTATAAGACTTATGGCCCTAAGTGTTTCACCAAATATATAAAAACTTTTTTATAACATTAAAATTGTCTAAATCAGTTGAATCTATCAAGTGATGAAATGTTATCAAAATGATTGGATTGTCTGAGTCTGCTGAATTATGAAAGTTATATTTAAAATACTACTACCTCCGTCCCATATTGGTTGTCCACTTTCAATTTAGCACGATTATTAATAAAGTAAATGAAAAGTAAAAGTTGTGGTTCAGATTTGAGTAGAATAAAGTGAAATGATAAGGACCACATATTTCTTGCAAAAAATGAAAACATGACATTCATTTTAGGACAATCCAAGAAGAAGAGTAGGACAACCGAAATGAGATGGAGGGAGTATATTGTATTAATAAAATAAATTAAATATTACGAAGTATATATAAAACATTTAAAATGATCATCTAGAGCAATTTTAACCAATTTAGCTAAAAAAATAACGTTCAACCTTTCTCTTTCTTTTTAGGCCTTCTGTTTGGTGTTTTGCACCGTAAACTTTGCATACTTGGGATGTCTTTACTTGGACTATTTTCAGTCCAAGATCAGATCATACTAAAGCAGACTTGAATTGTTATAAAATACACTGACACCAACCGACTAGACCAGTTCAGACTAGACTAAAAATTTCAGTCCAAATAAAAACATTCGTGTTCCTTCGAGCACACGACAATAATCAGCATGTTAGCGTCCTCTTATGTTGATAGAAGAAATGAGGAGCTAGGGACCTAAATAGATTCACTCTTAATTGTACTCCTACACTTTTTTTATACTTCGTATAATAAGCATGAACTGATCATTTCATTGTATCAGCGGCAGAACTATTTAAAAGCGTCACAGTTACAAAAGTGTTGCGTACTTTTGCATTCTATACTACATGCAATAGTTTTTCCGAACATTCTGTAATGTGTAGATTTAAACTTTTAATTATTGGGATCGAAATATTTCCGAACATTCTATACTACTCGTACTGGATATATGCTCTCTAAATATTTGATTAAAAAAAATAAAAATGTTGCATAAAAGTACCTCAATCAGTCCAAAAATAATACTCCGTAATTGAATATTAGCTAATTGAATGAATAATTGAAGCAATCAAAGCATTTGTTCTAACTAATTGCTAGTTGCCGTGCTGCTCTCATCACGGGGAAACCAGTATCTGTTGTACACCCAAGTGGAATCAGCAGCGACGGGTTCATCATCCTGGTTCCGGTGCCACGTGTAATGCGCGTGTGTCCGGTTCTTTATCTCCAGAAGCGCGTGCCCGAAACTTGCTTCCCTGTAAGCCGAGTAATCTGGCTGTGGTAATGAAAAGCTGCGTACATAACACAAGCATTCATCATAATCCGAAGAAGGCTAGCCGAAATGCTAAATAAATTAGAATGCAAAGATGTTTCTAATTGGATGAGTTTCAGTTTTACACAAGATAAGAAGATCAAACTTAAACAAATGAGATCACACCGGACAAAAAATTATTTTTCAATTAAAAACATCCTAAATGATAATGCTTACTTGTCGGCAATGCCCTCAATATTCCCACCATCTCCAATATTAATGTAAATTGGGGCACTCATATCCTTCACCGGATAGCTCTTCCCATTTGTAATGTTGTATGCCACGTTTGATACTCGCTCCTACACAAAATCGAAGAATACATAAGTTAAGATTTAATACTTAACGCAAAGTTGCTCCTTCATGACTTGTTTGAGTTAACAAAGCTTAAAAGCAGTTTGAGACAAGGAAATTCTTGAGAAAATTGGACTACTTCAGTTTTTTTTTTTTTTTTTGAGAAAGACTACTTCAGTTTTTATACTCCGTACATTATACAATTTCAGTTTGTTCTTGACTTCTAAACTTCTTGTCATATTTAAATGCCATTGTTACATACTAGGAAAACTTTTGGGGAGTTTTCTAAGGATATAAATCTTAAATCACAAACAATAACTTATGTGTTGAGGGAAAAATTAACCTTATTATGTTCATTTAAACATCATATCCTAAGCGATCGAGGACAAGCAATATGGAATAATTAGGTAGTACATACGTAGTACTCCGTTTTTGATAAGCTAGAATCAACAAAAGGGCATTTTTGGACAACTTTCTTTTTATTCTTACTTTGGGAATTTAAAACTTATACTCATACTCTTGCAATTCAACTTTTAATTAATCCTACACATAGTTCATTTGCAATGCACAAATGCAGAATTTGTACAGTGATGCACTTCCATATATATTTGCAATATTTAAAGTTGATCTCACCCATCTACTTTTGATTTGTTCATATCTATGATCATGTATTGAATATATTACACTGAAATATTTTCCCACACAGGTAAAATTTAAAATAATATATTACGTACGTATTGTTAAAGGTATTGGTCCAACAAGGTCTCATTTCCACTTTATTTATACATAGTACTATTATATATTAAGATAATGAAATATTACTTCTATTAATTCATTAGTTCTCAATTTTCATCTAATAGTATACATAAAATGCGAGATTCAACATTGAAACCAAATGAGTATATGAATTGAAGTATGAAATGAATGAGCTTAATAGGAAATTAAGGAACTAATTAATCGCGTACCGAGCGCTCATAAGAGTGAACATGGCCGGCAAAGACAATGTCAACCTTGTATTGGACAAACCAAGGCTCAAATTGGACTCTCATGCTTTCACCTTCCATGTAATGGTAGTTATTGCTGTTGTACCATGGGGTGTGAAGCAGCACAAACAGCCATGGAGTCTCACTGCGGTTCACCTTTGGCAGCTCTTTCTCAATCCAGCTGTACTGCGGAGTATATTTCCCTGCATCCATCCATGCATTTTTTAAAATGTAATAGTGATCATTTATATTCGTACTAAGTTGCGCGGAAAGGTGGGAATCGCGGGAAACAAGCGCCAAATGGGTAAACAACTCTATAGAGAGTTTTGGTAGAGTTTCTAAATCCTAACGTATTTATTACCAAGAGTTCCCGTCCTTCAGAGTAGTATTCATATAATCAAATCAATTAATGGTTAATTATACTATTATAGTGAACAACTTATTTGCTCAATGAGTAATATAATTACCGTATGCAGAATAAGAAGAGAGGACAATAATGTAAGCCGATGCCCTTTTGATGGAATACCAGAGAGGAGATGTGCTCTCAGATGCCTTGTATGGCACATGATACCTATGCATGTATGGCTTAAATGGAATGTCTTCACCCTGCATGTTTTTTTTTGCAATAAGAAATAACATTAATTAATTAACGAATAAAAGTATCTTGTTGTGTGATAGACAGGGCGGATCCAGGAATCTGAATGAGATTAGGTTGGACAATAACTATACACAATTACAAATTATGCTTAAACATTAACACAGTGAGTTAAATAACTATAATAAGCTTAAACAATAACCAAAAAATCAAAGTTCATATCATATGGCCTCTTATCATAATGACAAATGCAGGGGCCCCTTTGTATTTGTGAAAATAATGGAACCCTTTTTGGACCCTGGCCTTATGGAAACATCAATGTGCACCAACTACCAATTTAAGAACTCGTGTGTTTTTGGTAAATTTTTCACCACAATGTCAAGACTGGGGTCTAGATGTAGACATTGTGGTTGACATTATTGTGAAAAAGTTACCAAAATTATTTAAAGCCGTATAAAGAAAGAGAGAGAAATGGGAATGATTCATTGTCTTGTGTCTATCTTTCACATAAGAGTGGGTTGTAGGGAAATGAATTACGAGTTCAGGAGCAAAGTCGAGTTCATGATTGCCAGCGGTCCAAATCCAGGGCTGATATGCGACGCTCTTCTCTACGAACCGAGCCCATGTATCCCATTTCACATTGTTATGGTTAGGGTGATTATCGGCATAAGACAAATCACCCACAAATAACACTGCTTCACCCTTTGGATTAGCAACATAGTGTTCCAATGTTTGATTTGAAGCTTCTGTTTGCCCCAAGTCCCCTGCAGTACGTATTTAAAATGATGAAATCAATATAAAACATGCATGGATCCTTCTCAAAATTATTTTCATACTATAAATAGTGTTTGAGCAACTACTGGCCAAACTTCACAAAGTTAGATTCTAAAGATCAAAACATGAACTTAATTATGGGGCTAATGGAGTAGTAGCCTACTAGGTACATTTGAGCACGTTTAATTCATTAGAGCATCTTCAATACATTTATTTTGTATTGAAGATTCACTGTTGACTACAAAATGACAAGGATTTTGACACAGACTTGGCAGAGATCTTTGGCACTGATTAGCCAAAATTTTTAGGGTATTTGGCGCAGATTTGGCACGAACACATCAAATCCGTGCCAAATTGCATGCTAATATCCCGTTTTGTCACCGGCTATTTGGCATGACGTTGTGCCAAAATATGTTATGGCCAGTGTTAAACATGATCAATCTATGTTAAGTCCGTGCCAACATCATTGTTTTCTAGTAGCGAAAAAATTGAACAATAATGAATAAATCCTTAGGTTCAAATTCAAATCTCTATGAAAACTTCA